GGAGAGGTCTGCCACGCCATGTGGTCACCTCCGGGGCAGGCGGGAATCGAACTCATGCAGAAGTGGCTTTAGCTTCTCAGTGCAGTGCTTTAACCCCCTGCGCCACCAGGAAGGGCCAAGATCATTCAGCTTTAGTGGAAAGTTATAGATTGTATTTTTCCTCTAAAAAGCTATCATGGAAAGAGCCAGATCAGTGCTTTGGCAAATCAATTACTCTTAAAGGGCCTTTGTTTCTTCAGGTGTAAATGTCTGGAAGGAGGCTTAAGGCAATTTCACGTGCTTTGAGATTTTGTATCTATCCTCCCACCCTTCTCAATTTGTTCTGGTTCATTTGCCCACTGTACCTAATGGATTCCGGATTACTTTCATACTTTCACTAACTTTAGTCATTTTATTTGCCAGTGTTGTCAAACTGTCCTTTTCAGTCCATTAACAGTAAGATTCTTGGCTCTTACCCACACGCCTAGATTCCCTTTCACTCTAGTGAAGAAATTCCCCCCGCTTTTGCCTCTTCATCCTTGTCCTAGATCCACTATGAACTGTTTTTAAATATATAGTTTTGTTTATTTATGCATACAAAACCCTGGGGTGTTGGCCAGAGGTGCAGAGGGTGAGAGGATTCAACAGAGAGCAGGGAGCACAACAGGTGCTTAGCACAACTGAAGCACTGCTAAGGGGAGAAGCTGGTAAGACAGGAGAAGTCTTTTGTGTCATATGGGTGGGTCAGCCCCTAGCTGGGGATAAAATTGGATCCGAAGGGACTGGTGGTAGCTTGCTAGTACTGAGACTTTAACCCCTGCACCACCAAGGAGGCCCTACACTGTGAACTGTGCACTGTAACCTTTCACTTAATTCTAAAACTCATGGAATGTAACAATCTTTAGTTTTCATATGCTGTACATTTTTCATGCTTCTTTATTTTCAGTGGTGTTTTCTCTTAAATAAGCTTCTAGACCTAGCTGACATTTTTCTATTAGCAAAATAGATATTCAACAAATGTTATTAATTACTTAATACTGTCATTTATAGTGACTCATGGGAAAACTTAAGTGTTGATTTTTTTGCTTAGTTCTTTTTTTTTTTTTAAGTGAACAGCCAAATATATGGATACTTTTATTTTCAGGTCATCTGTCTCTAAATCTGGGAAGAATTAACTGTCATGATGTTTTATACTTATTTCCTATTTACCTATTGGCAAAACATACCTTTTTCAGTTGTATGCATCTTGTTTACATATTCTCTTCTGTTTTTAAAGGAAAATTTGTATTAGATACTTCAAAGTATGTGATATAAACATTTTTAGTGAAGTGTGTTCCTTAATAGGAAGAGTAAAATTATTTTACCTTTAAAAGATTTTTTTTATTGAAGTAACATTGCATTTTAGCATGTATAAGTTTCAAGGTCATTGTTGATAATCAACAACAAAAGATGTGTTATTATTGGCTTCTTCGTTTACTTTTAGTGTTGATATTTTCAACACTAAAATAAAAACGTGTTGATATTTCAATACTCTTGTCACACTTAAATGTTGCAGTATGAATTGTATTATATTTTTAACATGTTCTTTAGGCTTGATAAGCTTTTTAACTAACAAAGACCACTTTTTCTTAAAGTCACAATTTTTCCTATAAATTTTTTTCTGTTTAACTCTAGGTGACTGTGGGGATCATGTTGTCATAATGAATACAAGACATATTGCATTTTCGGGAAACAAATGGGAACAGAAAGTATACTCTTCACATACCGGGTAAGGTAATGCCATCAAGGGAGGTGGGCTTTTAAAATGTATTACTTCACAAGTAATATTGATCTTATTTTTTTTATATATTATATTAATCTTATTTTAAGGAAAAAGTTACTTGCAAACTGGCATTTAAGAAAATACTAATTTTACTCATGTTACATATACAAATGTTCTCAATCAAAAAAAGCCACAAAGTTGTGTTCAACATCGGTTATTACCTGACATCCTGCTTGTCTTGGAAGCTTTTTCACCTGTCGGTGGTCAAGATTATTCTTGGTGTTTAGTCAGTCCTCTCTTTTCTTTCTGTTTCCTGTGATTCATTTTACTCCTGTTTCTAAAACCATACTAAACATCTGGAAGTACATGAAATGTTTAAGGAAAGGTGAACAAAATCCCAGGTTGAAAGATACCTGAAATCTCCACACACCTGCAAGTCATAGGCTCTGTCTGACTGAGTGACAGTGACCTCGCCACTCAGGAGGCAGCAGCAGCCTGTTCATCCCACCCTGGAGAGGTTGAGATTTTAGGAGATTTTTATGCTGTTGTTTTCCTAGAGTTTCCATATCAATTTTGGTCTCCTCTGTGGAACAACATAAAACAAGTGTATTTTCTTCATATGTCCTCTTCAGAAAATATCAAGAGATTTATCAGCAACTGCTCATTGATTTCTCTTTTCTCTAGACTAAAAATCTCTTATCATTCTAAGTTGTTTATAGGCTTTGCTTCAAAGATCCGATCCCTCAATATCTTGGTGTCTCCTTCAGACAACAAACATTGCTTGTCATTGTCTTCATTAGCTCAGTACACTTGCCTATCTGCATTCTGATGGTTTCCTAGTAGAATGTATCTCTCTTCTCTCTGTGACTTAGGCAGTCTTCATTTGACCCTAATCAAGATCTTGAAAATTAGATGAGGCAGATCTTAAAACTTTTCTTATATGAGTAAACTCATCTATAAAAAGGTAGGTGAGTTGCCTAATTCTAGCCATTGACAGTACCTAAATAGCAAAACCTAAATCTAGGGTATTCAAATTACTAATCTTCCTCCATACAATCCCAAATATCCATTTTTTTAAACCTGCACAGATTCTCCATTTTATATACAACTTTAATCTGAATGCAATGAAATATTTAATTACTAGAACCACCATAAAATGCAGTGGGTGTACTTCAGGTCCTAATAAAGAAACAATATTTTGACCTGTAGGTATCTGAATTTAAGTGGTCTACCAACATTCATTTCTCCCAGTCCCCACCCATAGTTTATCAAGACACTTTGTGTAATTTGGTAAGGGATATGAAACATTTTGATTCAATTTTTTTTCTCTCTAATTCAAGGAGGGATGAACTACCTCATAATAAATTAAGGATAGTTTTAAAATCTTACAGAAATGTAATTATACCAAGAACTTTGCCAAAAGGTAGAACTTTTCATAAAATGATAGCTGACCAGTTAATAGCAGTTCAAATTGGATAGGTTAGTACTTAATTTTTAAAAATCAATACTCATAAACAGCACAGTTTCCAGAAACAAGTATAATTTTACAATAATAGTAATTGTTTTCATATTGTAAAATAATATTCAGTTCAAAAATACTTTACATAGTTTGCTCCCAAGTTGAATGCCTTTTCTTCTTTTAACAGCTACCCAGGGGGATTTAAACAAGTAACAGCTGCCCAGCTGCATCAGAAAGATCCAGTAGCCGTAAGTCTGTTGCAGTTTGTATTTGTCATCTGTGGTTGGGGGATTCAGATACTGTTTCATTGTTTTTTTCAGTCTTACTATTCCTGTAATCTAGCATTCAAAGCTGTAAATTCTTCTGCTTAACTATCAGCACACCAGTTTTGAAAAGTGTTGTTTTATTATCATTTACTATATTTTCTAATGACTGTTGTGTTTTGCATTTAGTAAATTTTAATACTTTTTGATTTCTTCATACCCACGTGGTCAGCCACTTTGCTGAAAATGTCATCGAGAAGTGTGTGTGTGTGTTGGATTTTAATATTGGTGGTCTTTGTGGGTCTGCAATTCATTGTTTCTGCTCAGACCATTTGGTCAGCTCATGTACATTAGAACATAATCTCTGGAAATTCTTTCAGACCTTTTTTTTTTTTTTTTTAATTTCTGCAGAAAAGATTCACTTTGTTTCTGGAAAATTCACAGCAATCAAAGGGCTCTAAGCAACAATTTAGATTTTTGGATTTTGAGCACCATGAAAGAGGGCCTCGGATCTTTATAAGCGCACGCTTATTGTTAGCAGTTACCTGGCTACATAACTTTTATTGTTGAATTTACACACTTCACATCCTGGGTGTTGTCTCTTGTTGAGAAAAATCTAGATTTATAACAGCCTTTGCCCCTACGTGTGACCCACTGGGGTAATCCTTATAACCCAAACTCTGTAATGAGCTGATGACCTCAAGGCAAGTGCCAGCCCTAGGCCTCTTTCTAACAGCCTTTTCTCCTGTTTCTAACCTCTAGTTGGTCCCATGATTTAAAAAAGGTTTTTAAAACAACATGTTAACATCAGTAATGATTATTATTTTATCACTTTATCATCTGAGTTGTTTACTGGGAGAAATTTTAATCCAAATATTCTCAGTATTGCTAAAAGCAAAGTCTTCTGTTGACATTTCATAATTTTACTTTTTCTACCTAAACTCTTGTAACCCAGTCTGTAAATGATACATAACGGTAGAAAACATTTTTCCCTAGTTAGAACAATTTTAATTCCCTATTTAAATACACTCAGAATTGAGCAAAACGTTTGACGGTGAAGATGTTAGTTTTTATTTTTTATTTCCCTAAAATGGTAAATAAAAATAAAAATATGTCATATCTTTGGTTTCTTTATAAAGGGGGTATTTATTATAATGAGTTCTGACATAACATTTAGAAGTTTCATGCTTTGATGTTTGTTTTATCATTCATATCTATTTTGCAAAAACATACTTATGATGACTTTAGAGTCATTTGTTTATTTTATAACTTACATTTTTAGACTATTATATATCAAATAAAGTGTCCTGTTTGGTGATTAATCTTGAGTGCACACAAAAGTTATGACTTTTATACTTTATGTGACTTTAAAATGATCTGTTTATTCCTGTTATGTGAGCTGCACACTAGGAGGCAGTGTGGTGCAGCCTTTGGATGTTAAGGCTATTGCATTTGATGACCTGTAAAAATTGCGCCATGTTACTACTACCTTTTATGAGCAAACATTGAAATGCAGGTTTGATCAAAATTTGGAAAATAGTTTCATAATTAAAATTTACTTCAGTTATGAACTCTTTCAAGATATCTAAATTTTTTTTGTACTTTTAACTATTTTTAAACATTTCTATAAATTATCTATTTATTTTTACATCATTCATCATTTTGTGCATTTTCCATCGCGGTTGTAATCCACATGAACTTCCCACCCCATTTCACCCATGTGCCAACACCATAGTCCTGTGCTCTCCTGGGATCAAAACTGGGGCAAGATCTGAATTTTTTTAAGTTTCAATTTTAACTGTGTCTTGAAAAACAGTAGTTTAAGGGAGAGAGGAGCTGTCTTATACCCAGGTCAAACATTCATGTATAACTAGAGCAGCAGACCTGCTGCAACAGATGTCATTTTCTAATCAGAAAATTACTTGGTGCTTGGTGTGTATTATCAGGGTGATTGCAGTGTGGGTGTCGGCCCTGGGAGTAAGGCTGCCTCATTGGAATTCCAGCACCGCCATTTCTTAGATGTATGAAATGGGGGATTTCTTTCACCTTACTACATCTGTTTCCTCATGTGAAATGTTATAAACAACATCTCACCAATGAAAGTTCACCTTTACCATTATTGTAGACTTGTGATTTATAAAGTCGCTGTCGTAACTGGCTTCTGTTAGACACGGTTTATAGATTGGAAACCATCTAATTTCCAACAGGATTAAGACCTAGTCAGGGATCATTTAAGCCACAAACCCTTGTATAAGCTTAGAGAATATCTTTTTTTCCTAGCTAAAGTAGCACATACATAGATTATTTTTATTCTCTAACTTAAGCCCTTCTTCTAAGTAAACATAACATGTAAAGAAAATAATATATACAATAATAAATGTTCCTTTTCTGTTGCTTCCATATATTTACTTAGGCCTCAGTTTCTAATTTTCACAAGGTCTTCTGCTTGCTTTCATGTCTACCTCTAATTTTGTTTGCCTTCTTTATATCCCGAATCATGTTTTTCTTACTGAGTTCTACATGCACCTGTTTTTCAGATTGTAAAGCTAGCTATTTATGGTATGCTACCAAAAAACCTTCACAGAAGAACTCTGATGCAGAGGTTGCACCTTTTCCCAGATGAGGTATGTGTGTGGCTACAGTTATACTTTCAGCAATTTTATGTAAATACTCTCTTTTTTAAAGAATTGCTGTAGACATATTTTCAGTAATTGCTTGAGTCAGCTTCTGAAATGTTTCCTGTATTTTAAGTGACTATACGATAAAAAGAGTCATCATGGTGCTAAAAATTAGAAACCTGTGCCTGCTGTTTCCATTTTAACAACTTCTAACTTTTGAAGCATTACTCTAATCAGAGCCCTGGTTATTTGAGGCACTCACAGATAATTTCATCAACCACAAAAAAGTATGACTTTAGTTCACTTTTTATATGACTATTAACAAAACTGCTGAATCACAAATAACTTAGCTTTCATTGCTAATTCTTTTCATGATTTAACTTTAGAATACATTTGCCTTCTCAAAATTTACTTGACTGAAAAGTACTTTTAAGAAGTATAAATGTTTTTTTACTTATTACTCAAACTGTTTTAAATACAAAGCTTTCTCTTTAGTGTATCATAATGAAACACTAGATGTTCCTTAATACATTAGTTGAGTCTTTGTCTGGAATCAGAATGGATTAGAGCCCCTGCCCCACCATTTCCTTACTTCATTACTAGCTAAATACTTACTAGCTCTGTTTTTCTTCTGCCAAATAGGCGTAATAATAGTACCTACTTCCTCAGATTGTTGTAAGCATTAAATTCAATGACATTTCTAGAGCACTTAGAACAGGTCCTGGCACAGTAAGTACTAAGTACTGTCAATTCCATGTGATTTCATTACCACGAAACTTGAAATTTCTTTTAAAATTGTAGAATAAATAATAAAGTAAATGACCAAATAGCCACTGTGCTATGTTTAACATAATGTTAAACATAGTCAATAAATTGGAAACCATCTCATCTCCCATCTGCAAGCAACAGGATCCCTCTCCAAAGTCACCACCCACTCTGCAGAGGACTCTGAAAGCTCCAGATACACACTCAGTTTGCATTTGAGGGTTACCTTCTCTGTGACAATTAAAGGAGACTCCTCCCCTGCCCCCTTCTGGCTTCATGTTTATTAATACCTAGTGAACTTTCCTTTCTCACGTTGTTCTGTTGCATTCTTTCAATGAATTCCTCCAACAGTGGGGAAATTTGGCAAGTTCATTTCTTGGGGGAAATTTGGTAAGCTATTTTCAGTAAAAATTCTTTCAATACAGAAGATATTTACTAGGAACCCATTTGTCCCACACCCTATGCTAAGAAACTTGGCAACTTTTGAAGTTGTTTTTACAAGTGATCTGCAGATATTTGTAATAGCCTCCCAAAGAAGTATAAAATATTTATAAATTTTCATAAATATCAACTGATAATAGGTTCCTTCAGTAAGGAAAAAATAAGGCCAGAACACCCTCTACTTACTCTGGTCTGTGCAGCTATTCTTGAATATTTGAGTATACTGGGAAAGGGATGGTGAATATTTTTTAGATGGTTTTCAATGAAGAAACACATTGTGAATAGTATTTACTGTGTTTTGTGTATTAGTGACCCAGCCCAACTTACAATGCAATTCCATTTTCCTTATTCCTATTATAATAGACATGTTAATTCTTTTAGTTATTCTTTTGTCATTCCTTGTATTCAGTCTCTTGTTCTTTCTCCTTTTGACATATCTCACAAATACAGTCAGGCTTTTGCATTGTATTTTTTCCTTTTATTATATGGAAACATTTGGCCATCTAGCCAGGGGCAGTTCTGGGCAGGGTTATACCTTCAGTAAAAGCACCAGCATTTGACTGTAGCCCTGTGAAAACCCAGGTCACTGACTTCAAAGCCGTAGTGTGTGGGAAGCTAGAAAGGCAGGATGGAAGCGAGAACGCTGGCATAGCTAAGGCGTTAGAGCTTGAGCCTGATATTTTCAACTGAGGAGTTACTTTTAAAACTTTCAGGCCATTAGAGACCAGGATCTTTTTATTTTCCTTTATATACTCTGCACCTGTCCTTAATTTTTGGATCATAGAAGGAGTTCAATACATGATTGTTGGCTAAATGACTCAAAGACTCAGCAAATTTTCATTTTTGAAAGTTTTTTCTGGCAACAATGTGGAATGTATATTGAAAGTCTGCGGCATAAGGAGCAATAGACAAAGTGCATACAGTCATCAGATGAAAAATGAAAATGAGCCAATGTAGTACCTTTTTGCAGTTGAAAGGAGAGAGTAAAATAATATTTAGGAAAAACAGACTTTGGTGATTAGATAATTATCAAAGTTGGAGATGGCTAATTTATTGTAGGTATGTTTGTCAAGATTACTACTGTATTGGGCTTCTCTCATTGATCTAATGAACATGTCAGTGATTTCACAAGTTTTCATTTAAAAATTACATTGTTCTCATTTTATAACATTCTTTGGATGTTATTTTTAATACTAAATATTAAAAGTCATTACTAAGGAAGATTTTTTTTAAATAAGCCTAAATTTTTACTTTATCTAGGATATACCAGAAGATATTCTTAAGAATTTAGTGGAAGAGCTTCCTCAACCACGCAAAGTCCCCAAACGTCTGGATGAGTACACACCAGAAGAAATAGAGGCTTTCCCAAGAGTGTGGTCTCCGTAAGTCTCTCTTTTCTCTTCCCTATCCTTGTTCTTTCTTTTCTTTTCTTTTTTTTTTTAAGCTGTGTTTAGTGTGCTCTGTTTCACTAACCAAACAAAATCTTTGAGAGTGGGGAGAGTGAAATGTTTTACCCCTTGGATAGTCTTCAGATTCTAACTGCAAATGAACTCTAGAAGTAAAACCAAAAGTCTCTAAGTCTTAGAACCTTGCTAATTCTTAAGAAGTACAAGGATCGTCCTAAATGGCTATAATTATCTTATATTTTCTTTGGGATGACATTACTCATATTGATTGTACTCTTGGACAATAAATGAATTTTCATTTACTAAAAAACTAAGTGGTTTTCTTTCCCAGATTACTTTACTAAGCTGAAAATAACATCTAATGGAAAGTCATTAATTCTTGCTATTTGATAGTCTTGATGTAAAGAGAAAAACGACAGAAAAAAGAGCAGTTTTTGCTTTTTTCTCTACAATTTCTTTTACCTGCAATCTGGAAAGCTACTTAGATTTGACATATTCTCTCCCATCTAATTTTTGTAAGCTCTTTTTTAAGCCTATGAGGCACTCTCACCTGACTCCTCCCTGTCTCTTTAGCTTAAATCTCCGACTTTCATGATACTGATCTAATACTAACAGTATTTTATATAGACACACTTTTTTTTTTAGGACTAATTTTTTTTTTTTTTTTATTAAAAAGTTTATTTTTACATCATTTTTCACATTTTTTTTTTCATCTCAATTGTAATC